TAAAAACTCGTGCTAGCCGAGAGATGCCTATGGATAGGTATAAGAAAATTTTACCGCCGATTCAAGGTATGGCGGCCGCCACGCCTTGCCCGTTGGAGTCCTCCGCCAGTGACTAGATGCATGCTAGATAGCCACATCAACTTCAGTCATGTTTACTATGTTCTTTCTTTACTCCATAAACGATGGGGTTTACTCTATTTGTTATTCACATGTTCCTCGTGAACTTCAGTCATACGCCGTGGTTAGAAAATTTCCAGTAAAAAATACCATGCAAGCACACATGAAGTTACAAGCCAAAAAAAAAAAACTTCCTATGTTATTAAAGCGTTCAGGGAGAATTCCCCATTTTGTGCCATGAAGGGAGAAAACTTTGCTTGGTTTGAAAACCTTGGAGACATGTGGTCTCAGAGGGTTTCAGACCATGCATGTGGCAGCCGCCACTGGGACAGCTCTCCACACGCACGCTGAATTAGTATAGTTTCTTTGTTGCTGATACACGCTTAGTCAAGTTGAAAATGCCACTCAAGAACTTTTAATCTCCTTCACAATCAGTTTCCCACTTGTCACAAACAGAGGAGGACATGCATGACACTCCACTAGCACACATCTGTACACACCACAGTTTAATCATCTTCTGATCATTACCTCAAATAGGTGCTGGACAGGAGTAGGCAAGTATACTACTGGTGCACGGGAAGTATACTACTGTAGACCACCGCCTGGCGTTGCCAAATACTGCCCATCACCACATCGCTTTCATGTTCCCCAGACTAAACCACGCAGGGAACCCTACTACTACGGTCTACGGAGACAGTTCTGCAGAGCATTGCCCAATCATTTGACAGTTTTTTCTTGGCCACTGGGTAAAGAAAGATATTTCCTTCCATTTCGGTGAACAGCATTTGCCCAAACTTCCATTAGGCTGGCAGAAATGTTAGTGCCAGTTTGAGGCTGGCAATTATTATTCACATAATACCAGAGCATAACAAGTGTATGATTTTTTTTTGGTTGTTCAGTTAAAAAGTAGAAAATTCTTAATGGAACATAGGAAAGTACATTATTCATGTATCATATACCCCAACAATTTCTTTACCTTTCGTCGTTAGGACAATTGTCGGCCATATAAGGGCATCTCCAATTATCAATCCGTGTTTCAAGTTGTAGCCGCCGCCTCCTCCTTCTCCTCCACAAAAAGCTAGGGTTTTTGTCTCCCGCCGCCGCCGCCGCCGCCGCCGCAGGTCCGCCTCCTCTCCGATGGCCTTAGGGCCATGGGGGGCGCAGTGGATCTCGGAAAGGGTCGGCGGGAGGGCTCCGTTTTTAATCGTTTCTTTCAGTTTTGCTAGGGTTTGTGTCCTGCTCAGGAAGACGAGACGGCGGCGGCTCCCTGAAAATGGAATAAAGGTCTCCCGCCTAGCCCCCGTTCCGGCGATGCGTCTAGCATCGTTGGTGGGCGTGTGGAGGTGTGTCTCCGGCAGATCTATCTTTGGTGGATTTGCTCGGATCTCGTCGTTGTTCGTCTACGTTCATGTGTCTTCGGATTGGATTTTTCTAATCTACGTTATTCTTCATCTGCGGCGGTTGTTGTTCTGGTGCGCTGGTCCTACGGGGCCTTAGCACGACGACTTCCCGACTGTCTACTACAACAAGTTGTGCCCGACTCCGTCGATGGAGGGGCGATGACGGCGGCGCGCCTTCGGCTCGCTTCAGTGCTGGTAGTTGTCGCTAGGTGGTCTACGGATCTAGATGTAATTTCTATTATTTCTGGTATTCATTGTACTGCCATGATTGAAGATGAATAGATCAGAAATTTTCTTGCAAAAAAAAATATAAAAGGGCATCTCCAAGGCGAACCAGTTACGCGCTGTCCGAACCGCGGAAGCCATCCAACGCCGGCATGTATCGGTCCGCGGGCCGGTTCGAACGCAATTTCTCCCGCTAACCGGACACGAAGTGGGGGGAGGGTGGGGGGTTTGCGGGAGTCCAGACTTCTCCCAAGTCTGCTTCTGACCGCCCTGGCCCACCAAAAATCTGTCACTGCCTGTCCCGCGCTTTCCTACCGATGCACGCGCCGCTCGCCGCGTCGCAAATCATGCCGACCCAGATCATGAGGAGGACGACATTAATGCCGCAATATGACAGTAGGGAGGGAGGGCGACGCTGACCGACGTGATCTCTTGGTAGCCACCGCTTCATTGCAGATGCTGGTTCCCGAGGAACCAACTCCGCCCGCTGCGCCGCATTGAAGCGGCTGGCCGGCCCATCGCATGGCCTGGCCGCGGCTATTTAAGTCGCCCTCCGGCGCCGTCCACATCACGTCCTCCTCATCCTCCTCGCCGCACCCCCCTCCACATCTCCGGCGATGGGCAAGTCCTTGGCGTCGGTGTCGGCGGGCTGTTCTAGGGCGGTATATGGCGGCTCGTGGAGACGCCATCGTCCTCATCGGCAGGCGGCGACTCGATGCGGAGATCGTCATCTCCTCCAGCTATGAGAAGGACCAGCCGCCGCCGCCGCCACAGTCCACGCCAACGGTGCCGGGCCAGGTCTACGTCGACACCGACACGAAGCTCAAGGAGAAGAAGGAGCTGATGCTCCGTCTCTTCGTCGGCCACACCAATGGCCCTGCTCCGCCAACGGGGGAGCTCCTCCCCATGAAGCCGAAGCCGGCATCCCCTCGATGCTCTTTGCCGCCGCCGCAGCGGCGTCCAAATCAGTTGCCGTGTCACTAAAGAGTGGCTCTCGCCGTCGGCCCATTGCATCATGAAAATGGAGCGCCGCTCGCCGCCGCGTCGTCAAGGAGGAGTGCCGCTCACCGCCGCCGCCCCTGTCCAAGGCGTGCAAGCGCATTCTGCACTACCTCCGCGGCAACTCCTCTTCGCCGTCATCCCGGAGCACCATGACGGCGCAGGAGTACACCGACCGGGAGCGGTGTCGGCGGGACAGGTGCAACGCCGCGCGTCGATCCCAGTTCGCGGACTCCGATGTCCCGCCGCCACACATCGCGGCGGACCCAGACCTGGCGTAAGCCTGGGCCTTGGACCACTCTGTGACAACATCGGGGACGGCCAAGCGCCATCTCCGCCGCCTCGACAGGGAGATGGCCATGTGCGGCGAGGAATGGTACCTCGCCGAGGTCGCCGCCGCTTCCAATGACGACGCCTCCAACGACTGCCACCCTCTCCCCCACCCACATCCTCAGTGGCCACGGCCGCACTCTGCACGACACAAGAGGAGGCAGAAGAGATCATCCGCGAGCGTCAGGCGGCCGCCTGGAAGCCCTGCCACGGTGCCACAACCTTCCACGGCCCCAAGCCCGATTACAACGGCGGGTCGGGTGAAGATGACGAAGCAGGAGGAGCCGGCCAACCCGGCATTGGCTACGAGGTCACCGTGTGGTATAGAATAGTTTAGGGTTTTAGTTTTAGGTTTTTTTTTCTCCACCGGACGAAATATTGTCCAGTTTTATACAAATTATCCTACTTTTAATGAAATTCGCCTGTTTATATCAAAATTCATCATGTTTGCATGAATTTCGTCCGGTTGATTTGAGTTGTTGTGAAACTGTATGCGGCTAGCGTTGAATGGCTGCGCCCATGCATTGGATTCAGAGGATAACATGCACCCCGAGGTGGACCCGGGCTCGGCCATGGTTGACACGTCGACGCTAACATCTTTGGGGATATCGATGCAAGCAGGAAACTCAACATCTTGTCGTTCTGGACCTAAGATTCATACTAGTGGTTTGTCACCTTACTGGTTTCGCCTTTGTCATTGTTGCTGAAAAGCTCCTTGGGTGGAGCGTCGCTAGTCCCATCGGCATACACGAGAACCCGTTGACCACACATGCATGTGAGGTCGCGAGTCTTCCATAGGAGAAAGTTCTTCACGACGAGCTTCACATTCGATAGATGATGGGACCACCCAAGCATGCTAAAAGGAGGAGCTAGATGTGGTGTTTTTCTATATTGTAGAGGCATATCTAATATTAAACCCATTAAGCGTCGCGTGAAGGGCGGTCAACCAGCTATGCCACGCGGCGCAAGCTGGTTGGCCGCAGTCAAAAACGTTTTTGTGATATTATTTTTAGATGGATGTGAGAAAAAATTTAAATGTTTTTTTCTTTTTAGATGGAGGTGATGACCAAACATATATTTTTAAATGGAGGGTTATGCAAAGTGGCGCTCGCTGGTAGGCTGCGTTGATGATTTTCTTTTCTTTTCCACTTCTTTTTTTGGATGGAGTCGAGGATTTAAAAAAAATATTTTTCTAGATGGAGGCGAGGACTCCGTCTATTTTTCTAATGAAAACATGCGCATAACTTTCTCTCAAGCGGCGTCACAGGGTGGCCGCCCAACCTCTGGTGATACCATACAAAGTAGAGGCAACAGATTTATTTGGGATGACCATGCCAGGGCTGAATCACTATATATCACCAAAGACTTGCCATACAAGTTGTAGTTTGCTAGGATTGGCTGAAAGCCACTTGTATGCTTTATTGTGACCATCCACCGTCCCGTAGAACCCACTATCAATACTTATATCCACGGCTTTTTGTACCAATATTTCCTAGCACATTACTAAATCTATAGGCTCTAGTACACTTTTTAAATAGATAGGCAAGATTGTTGTTTCGATGGATAATGCTCTTATAAAGTTCATTCATATCTGAAGTCACTACTTTATCTCCAGACCTAGAAACAGTAGGTTTCAAACAAGCACATTTGGCTTATACAACACTGAATCTTGGAGGAGATAACATACAATACATTTAAACATTAATCTCTTAACACGTATAACAAGCTAATCGAACTTATTTCTATAAATTATGGTCGCTGATTATATGATTACCATATTTTTCATTCATGGAGAAGACACTTGCTAGCTAATTAAGGTGTTTCCATCTTCGTAGCGAATTAATAGATTGAGGTCACGTACCATCTGTGGGGTATTTATTTTATACAGTTCAGTGGTATATTATTGTGTTTGTACAAATCGAGTTACTATCAAACCAGTGCACCTACTCGTTCAGAAATTCTTGAATCATCTATGCCAATTCTGGTGCTGAAGGCCTGGACAATACCGAGAGGAATTTATGAAATTAATTAACTTAATTAGATGCAAAATAGATAAGTTTTAATTTGGTATTTAATTGGAAACTAATTCTCCATCACGAAGACAAAAGTAGTCTTCCAGCTGCATCCAGTTAAATTACATAAATTCTAGCGAGTAGAGAGGGGCGATAAAGAAAGAAACCTACTAAGATTGTATGGCACAAGTCTACAGCTAGTTCGTCTAGCTTTCCCTTTTTTTGGGTTTTGCTATGTTTCTAACCTAAGGAAATGATCAGAAAGGAATCAGTGGTTCCATATTCTCACATACGTGTACATTCACCACCTCAGTTTTTAAATATAATCGGCTTTTTGTGCCTTTTACTTCTATAATGTCAATAATTCAGATTAGTGTTACACTAGAAACAAACAGTATCCCTCCAATAAGTATGAACACTTACTTTTATAGGGCTAAACGTTGAAAACGGAAAAAAAAAATCTTCTGTCACAAAAAATTCAGAAACTAATGTTTTTAAGTATGAATCCAATGATACAATTTTTGTGCCACGTAAACTATATTCTATGGGTCTAAATAATTATTGGTCAAATTTTGATTCCTAGGACTCATGCGGGCCTTACATTTTGCATAGTTGATGTATTTACTAGTCGCAAATGCAAAATGCTACACTACATATGTACGTACCCGGGAGTGTATGGTGTAAAATATTTTGTGGCCAACAACAGAGTGATTGGCGTTGATAATGTCGGCCCCTTCTTCCTCCAGGATGGTGAGCACCTCATGGAGCTTGATCGGCTTCTCTGTGTTGCATATCATCCTCACATCCATGCTCGAATCATTAGGTTGTCGTACCTCCACTACCGGTGCCGATGCCTTCAAATACATTTCCCTTTCCGGTGACCCAGCACCGCTACTCGTGGTAGAGGGGATCGAGATGCCACTAACTCCTTGTAAGGTAGCCATTGCTAGCGCAGTGGTCTTCTTATGTTGAAGCTCATCAACCCTCTCCTTGAGCATCTTGATGTATGATGCTGCCACATCTAGGCTGCCTAGCTGGGTCATTGTATCCTACATACATATTTAAGATACAACAATGTGAAACGATTATGGCAGCAATTTTTTTATTTGATAACATGATTTCCTTAGCCCAGATAGCCCTTCCTTTCCATGATAATGGAAGAGTTGTATTTTTTCTGGTGTATATATGGTACTGCAAACGATTACACATAACAAGCATTTTATTAATATTACGGTCATCCCATGTAAACCAGTTGTTGGTTTGCTTTAATCCACAATTTGCTTATACTTTGCAGTTGTTTTCCACCGTGCGTCAATATGTCATGAGCTTGAAAAGTAGTTCACCTCCATGAATGGTTTAAATAGAAGTTTCCGCCACATAGTTAGCCGAGAATGTTTTGCACGAACAGCCACATAAGCAATCCCGTCTCATGAATACGCATAATAAAACAATATTATATGCATTCTCTCATTTGTGAATATGTAAATTTAGAGCAGGAGGAGTTTTGCAAGAATGCAAGATGAACATAATAATTCTTGCAAGTTGCAAACTCAAAGACTTTGTATTTCCAAAGTGACTCTTGCTTAGATATTTCCTGAGAACATTGGGCTATATTTTCATAATATGGCCGAAAAATGAAATGGGTTGTGGAAACCAACAATGGCTGTACCAGGATCCAATTCTTGTGGTGTCAAACTTCATGAATGGAAATTTTGTAGAAAAAATTAATTGGAATAAAAACTATCATAACTTAGTTGGAACATGTTTACTTTAGCAGCGCTTATCTGGAACATATTCTTGTGATGATGCATATTTTATTTTACGGTGGTCTTCGACTTGCAAAATTCATGCCTCATCACATGACTATACAGCTATAGCGTGGCTACGCCAACACACTCCAAGAAAACTTAATGTCCATAGAACTCAATTTCTCTGGACAGTTTAATACAAAATTTCAAGTGATGAGAAGGGCTATACTAAGGGCCATTACATTTATTTATTTTCACTTATGAGGGTAACTGGATCTATATGCTCTATATAGTAGCTAAGGTGAAAATCAATGCCGAACAAATTAACATTTGCCACCTAAATATTCAGAATACATATAGAAACTCATTCTTTGTATGGATTGGGATGAGATCAAAATATAAACATGGAAATTTGGAGAGGAAAAATAACATGAGAAGATAAGTGTGTTCTTAATTAGTTCTTACAGCGTGGGGGTTGTGTTCTTTGGGGATGAGGGACGCGAGCTTATCGCAAAGCCCCTTCATGCGCTGCCTCCTCTCCTTCTCCGAGTCCTTCTTCTCCATCAGTACCGCCGCTGTCGCCGTCGCCCCTGCTGCGCCGCCGCTCGCCTTGGTCCTCTTCCCGCCCCTCGACGGCTTCGCCTTCACCACCATCTAGCTCACGAGGTAGGCAGAGATCGACCGGCATGCCAATTTCAATGGGTGTGTGGTTCAAAATGCAACCAAAGAAGAAGAAGAAGAAGAAGAAGAAGAAGAAGAAGAACACTGGTGGAAAAAGGGCCTTTGGTCGCGGTTAGCAACTGCCATTAGTCGCGGTTGCGCAACCGCGACCGAACGGGCGCGACTAAAGGCCCCACCCTTTAGTCGCGGTTGCTTAAGAACCGCGACTAAAGGCCCGTCCACGTGGGCGCCAGGTGGCCGTCGGGGCGGAGGACCTTTAGTCGCGGTTCTTCTGGCTAACCGCGACTAAAGGCCGCCGCAGGTTTAGGGTTTTAGCCCCCCCCCCTAAACCTGTTTTCTGTTTAATTTGTATTGTTTTATTTCTTTTGTGCTTTATTTTAATTTTGAAGGAGTTTCACATATTCTACGGTACTACATACATGCATATGAATGTACAATTTCAAACAAATTTGAAATTAGAACCAAAAAGAATTCAAGAGGAATATACAATATATATTCAATATCATCGGATGACCATATACAATTTTGAACAAGTTTCCATACATAATTTAATGCATATAAAGTTCTACGTCCTCGTAATGGTGTTCTCCTTTAGGATGGAGGACTTCCCTCCTGAACCATCCAGCTAGTTCCTCTTGAAGTGGTCGGAAGCGAGCTTCTGGACTAAGCATCATCCGGAGGTTATTCCTCTGAGCATTGGTATCACTCGGAACCCGCTCAGAGGTGTATCTCTGGATCATCTCACAGACATAGTAGGCACATAGATTGGTCCCCGCTGGCTGAATATCGTCACCATTCTTAGCCTTTGCCCTTTTGAATTCTAGCTCTTTTTTGAATTCACCGACCTTTGTATCTACGAACCGTCTCCAAATACGAGGCAAAGAAAATTAAATGAACAAGAGAGTTATTAGTTACTTGATATTAGGAAATGAACGAAATAGGCCGATCGATATAGAGCGCAAATGAATGAAAATAATTACTTCTGCAGCATTCTTCTCATGTCGACTCAAAGCTTTGGATCCTTATTCAGAGAGTCGTGGACGAGACATTCTGAGGTGTCAACTTTAATTACTAGCAGAATCCAGTGGAACCTGCGGACACGATACATGCACAGTACGTCATGCATAACTCATCGATTAGCCGGCCACATACCATGCATGGAGTAAACAAAAGAGAATGTGCCTTTGGGCACCTTTAGTCGCGGTTGGCCTGGCCAACCGCGACTAAAGCCCCTCACGTGCACCAGCTGGCCACCGAGCGCCCTGGCCCAAGCCTTTGGTCGCGATTCGTCTGCCGAACCGCGACTAAAGACTTCGTTAGTCGCGGTTCCTACAGTTTCGCGACTAATGGGGCTGGACGGAAGCCTCTTTTTCTACCAGTGGAAGAAGAAGATACCGAGTTGCAGGCAGCAGCTAGCTTCATGGCGTCAGCTAGGCAGGATACGATGGAGGTAGAAGAACAAGTGCGTGCGTGGCGTGGCTACAAATAGGATACGATGGGAGTATGGGAAATATGCTACAGTATATAGGAAGCTGGCTAGGTGTGATGCAGTAACAAAATACGTGTATTTACATTTTGTCCAAAGGAAATGTAGTACTTACAAGATCTACGTGTATTTACATTTTGAATTCTAGCTCTTTTTTGAGTACGTACAGATGCTATTGGTTGGAGAGGGTGTGTGGCTGCAGATCGACGTGTGATGCAGTACGTACAGATGCTATTGGTTGGAGAGGGTGCGTGCACCGATGGAGAAATATCAACGACACTGCATTCAATGCGGTGACAGCAGCGTGTATATATATGCATCTATTGCTTAAAACAAGATCCAGCGTATAATTCTTAGGCCATGGGCTGTACAGGAACGTCATGCATGATTGAGAACAAGTGGGAAAGTTTCAAAATAAGTGTTTCAACTTTGTGCTGACGAATAAGCATTTTAACTTTGTATTAACTTTAGGATAAATTTAGTACAATGTTGGGACGCTTATTTTGGGACAGAGAGAGTATGTACCTAGGCACTGTTGCTCTTCACCACAATAACACTTGCTACTACTACTACCAAAGATCTAAAACCAATGATACAATAAAACTTGCTACTGCCTTTCGTTGGTCCACTTTGAAAATGAGGAATGATATATTTTTTGCTCGCACCAATTGATATTAACTTCTATGTTCGCGGACAATGGTTGCTAACTAGATGTGGTTAGCTCTAAAGGACAATGTTTAGAAGAAAATGTGTCGGAAGAGTATGTGTCGCGGGAACTTTAAAATGACTTTCATGCCGTTGGAGGCAATGCCATTGTAGACAACCTAGCTAGGCATGAGCTTTTGATATTTCTTTTCACTTTTCAAGCATGTGTTACATAGTAAGAATCGCTTCGCTAGCTAGAGCAAAAAATGGCATCAATTAAATGAGGTATCATCACTGCAAGTTATGCGCTGTCGTTGGTCCATTCAACCCTTTTTTGTTTCTTTCTTTGTGTGAAAACAAATATTTGTAGTAGAAACTTGAAATTAACTTAATTATCACTGGTTAGGCTTGTCAATATCCACCTAGCTTAAGCTTTTGGTTTAGCCTTTTTCTAACGGATTTGCTTCCGACTAGTCGACTCGAATTTTTATCGTTAGTCGACTAGTATTTTGGCAAAGTTTCAATTGATTTATTTATAGTTGCATTGGACATCAGATACATGTCTCAAATGAAAGTGCTATATTTGTAATGCAGATGTGCTATATATTCTAAGGAAAAAGTGTGTAACCATAAAAAAATGGGTTTATGCGAGTTTCTTTTATATGATGGAATCATGTTATGTACATTATCATTTACATCCACATATATGTTGCGGTTATATTATTATTATTATTATTATTATTATTATTATTATTATTATTATTATTATTATTATTATTATTATTATTCCTTTCAAGGCCATTTTCTGAAGCATATCACAACCATATTGAATGGTAGATAAACCTCCATCGACTAGATAAGATTCGACCAGAGCAAATCTTTTACTGGCCTTGGACCATCCAACAAGGACTGGTAGATAGCATGTCAGCTACAACATTTGGACATATCAGGGGGAGCGGGCCTCCTTGATGCAACCCTTTTAGTTTGTTTGTTTCCTTATTTGGAAATCAGGAGTTTGCAGTAGAAACGACAACTTTACTTTACTATTAATAGCTATGTTTCTTCAAGTTAATCGACCTTAAATTTTGGTTTCTACTTTTCTATAACAGATTTGCTTCCAATCAATCGACCTGATTTTCGTTTGACTAGTTGGCTGGTTTTTCTTTGCAATTTCAAAAGATTTATATTCGATCCGCAGTTGCACAAAATAAGCGAACCGCTACATCTGTAATGTGTGTCCGCTACATAAATCCGATTTTCTTGATTTGACTTAAAACCAGTCGATACTTTTATTGTTCTCCGGAGCTGCCCCTTTAAACTATATCGATTGCACTTTTAAAAATGTGCAACTGTATTCATTTGAGATTTCATTTGTAAAGTTGCACGTTTACGGACAGAGGAGTATGCAGTCGATGGCAGGATGGGCTTTGTAATGGCTGTGGTGGCTAGCTCCTGCTGCTGTGCACCCACAGGCGAGAGAAGGAAGAAGAGCAGCGTGCGTAGGGGCCGGTGACGCAAGCAGGGGTGACGTATGCACCAAGTGTAGCAGTCAAACCTTAACTATTTTTGGTGTGGTCGCTCCCTCTCAGCACGTCCATTGAAGAAGAAAGGACGCAGCCAGATCGACTTGTGGCTCACTGACGCTCGTCGACCTGCGTGGCTATCTGTCTGTGCTGCAGGCAAGGCGAAGAAGCTTGGCCTGTGAATCTCCATCGGTATGATACTGTGACAGATATGCAGGCAAGGCTTGAAGAGCAAGAAGTCTCTCCTATAGATAAGGCAGGACATAATTACAAATCATATTCTATCAAATACATAGATATGCCTATATACTCTAACATCCCCTAGCTGTCGTAGTGGTAGTGTCGCAGACAACAGGTGAGTCACGGACGGTCAGACTGCAGAGAATAGCAGCTGACGGGCTGACATCCCCCGCAATCGTTGCATGATCGACGTGGACGATGTCACGTCATGTATGCGTTGATTGTATAGGAACCCGACGAGTTGCTCAAAGAAGGTGGTAGCCCTTTATGCGGATGTCGATGTAGCCGAGAGTGTAGGGTGGTGTAGTCGTCATCGAGGTAGCCCTACAAAGAATGCCATGGTCAATGTCGAGTCGGGGTGGCCGGTGTCAAGGTAGTGGCGTGCCAGGAAGAAGATGGTGTTGACGAGGCGTCGTGCCGGGTTTGCCAAGCTTGGGGACACGACGTGGACGAAGGCATGTGTTGGTGTTGCCAGCATCGGGCATGTGTAGACTCACGAAGTTGATGTTCATGAGGTGGTGCACCAGGCATGCCAGGCCCGGGGACACGTCGTGGATGGAGGCACGCGTCGATATCGCCAGCACCGGGCATACATAGACATGTATCATCACGATGTACGCCATGTTGAGGGGGCTAGTAGAGGAGGACTCGACGATGATAATGGTGCCAATTGGCGTGGGCCGATGTCGTCCGCAGCCGACGATGAGATGGTGTCGGAGGAAGGCGAAGAGGTGGAGTGGTGGCATGCCTCAGGTGAGCGAGCGGCGGCGGCACGAGGAACAAGAGCGGCGGCGATGCTCAAAGTAGGCGAGGAAGACCCGACAGCGTGATGAAGACTGGACGCAGACGGTCGCATTCCCGCACCTAGGGTGGCGGCGCGGCGCATGCCATGTGAAAGTCGACGCTAGGACGGCGGAGTGGACCGTGTGCCGCGGAGCTACGACGACTCGAAGGGGCGACACAGCGACAGAGCGTGGGTGGGGGCTACAGGGGAAATATCGCGGGGTAGTGACAAGGACCACCTACTACGCGGGCTACGATCCAAAGGGGCGACGCAGCACCGTGAGGGTCGATGCAGCCACGGTACGGCCTCGAAGCGATGGCGTCGACCGCGTGCTGCGACGCTACGACCCGAAGGGGCGACGTAGTGGCTGTGTGTAGGTCGGTGCAACCGCGGGGAGAACCACGGGGCAGCAGTGTTGCTGCCCGATGGGGCTACGCAGCGAAAGCATGTTGCTCAATCAGTGGCGGGGCGTGTTGTACTCGATAACAGTCTTCTTGGGACTCATGTAGGCATGCGCAACCAACGGGCCAGATCAGTCACATGGCGTGAATGGGATGGATCGCGGATAGATGGGTGATTAATCTGATCACGCGCGAGGTCAGAGACACCGCTCGGTGGTGACGGAGTCCTAGCTGTAGCCGGCGACAACGGACGGCGTGTGGACCAGCGCGGCAGGAGTATCCATAGCATGTGGAGTTCCACAGGCACCCGTGTAACAGCTTACTGATGCGTACATAGATGTATATATCCATCAGCTTCTTTTTGAGCAATGAGCAATGCTGGACCTACTAAAGGTTACTTAAGGATTTTACGTATTTGCTGATGTGGAGTATCGGGATTGAAAACAGGGGAAGGAAGTAACCTTTCATTGGTGTAGTACTATTATTTCTTTTCATAGTATTTTCTCTGTCCCGGTTTACTACAAACCCTTATATTTTAGGTTAATTTTTGAGCATATATATAACGAACAAACTATGAGATATATGCCACAAAACATACACTATTTGATTTGTATTTAAAAATGGGTTTCCACGTTAGCCATTTTGTAACATATAGTAAATACTTCAGTAGTCCAGTTTAAACTTTGACCCAAAATACAAGACGTCTAATAAACACGGACGGAGGAAGTATCAAAGATCTTGTGCAAGTCTAGTACTTCTTATAGAAAGAAAAATAGTAGTTGGCATAGTTTTCTTCGTGTAGTCCCTGCGTGAATTAACACGTATAAGCATCAACCCGTAGGAAAAAAACACGCATAAGTTCAAAAAAAATATGTTTATCGTAAATGAAAAAAAATCAGGTAATTCAATCCTACTTCGCCAATCAATCTGGGAAATTTTCAGCATAGGCTGCTTAGCTGTTTTAAAGTTTGGACGATTTTTGTAAGTCAGCCCATTAATGTTTATACAAAGCTGTCCAAACATTAAAATAACTAGGCACAATGGGCTGAAAATTTCCCAGCTTGATCAGTAAAGATGAACTAGGTTACTGATTTTCTTAATATTCTGATATTTTTGAAAAAAATCATTTCATTCAAAATTATCAATATTATAATGTTTTTTGTGAGTTTAGCTCGGCTCGTCAAGAAGTTCCTCTAGTCATTTAAGACATGGCACCCACATGTAATCTTTCTCATTAAGTGGATAATTATAGAAATTTGTGTTTTTTGTTCTTGGTTAGAACTAGAGTTGCAGTTTTTTTTTTACCAAAATCACATAGAATTGTAATTTTTGGTTAGGTGCTC